CTTATGTACAACTGCTACTGAAACTGAGGTTTGGAGAGATCATTCTAGCAGTTCCATAGTCTAAATGCTTCCTGAATATTATGGGTCCTCATTTTACTGACCTCGGAAAGATGGAAGGCTGAGTCAACTTTGAGCCGGTGAGAATCGAACTGCCGAACTGCTGGCAGAATTAGCCTGCAGCACTGCATTCTAACCATTGTGCCACCACAGCTCTTGTAAATAATAAAGTATTATTTCTTTAATACTTAGTATACATAATAAATGTAACAATATACATTTCATTTTCAGAAAAAGTGGCCTTTTGGGGATTTTCAATGAGGATGTGGCAAACTGAAATTGTCCCTATAGAAGCAGGGACATTGGGGTTGAAATGAATAATGTTTGGACATTATTTGAAGGACTAAAGACCAAGATTGTTGCTAGCAAGGGGAAAAATATAAAATAGATTTATTTGGCCAAGGTTGAAATAGATAAATTCCTAACTCTGGCAATCTTTAATAAAAAAAAATTGAACTAGTATTAGATGATGATATTGTATAGAGTTATAAAGGAAGGGGGTCATTTGTGCATTTTAAATTTATCTCATTAAGTTTAAAACAATTATGCTGTTACTTCTGTAACTTTTGATTTTTTAAAGATTGGATTTGAATGATGAGGTTTGAGGGATTTTAAAAGTAAAAAAATAGATACACGTGAAAGAAATGAATTCAAATAAGTTTATTAGATCAAGTTTATAATAGATATGTTGTTATTTTTGGTAACTCTTAATAGATTTTAGCTGATTAAGATGAATGATGAGGTTTTAAAGATCTGTTTGTAGACAATGAGGTGAGACATGAGATGAAGAGATTGTTGTATTTTAAAGAGATCTGACATGCTGTTAAAGTTCTTTAGGCAGGTAGTCGTCAAGTTACAACCACAATTGAGTCCAAAATTTATGTTGCTAAATGAAACTCATTTGTTAAATGAGTTTTGCTCCACTTTATGAATTTTCTTGCTACAATTGTTAAGTGAATCATTGCATTTGTTAAGTTAATAACATGGTTGTTAAGTGAATCTGGCTTCCCCATTGACTTTGCTTGCCAGAAGGTTGCAAAAGGTGATCACATGATCCAGGACACTGCAACCGTCATAAAATAGTCAGTTGCTAAGAATCTGAATTTTGATCATGTGGTCATTGGAGCTGCTGCAATGGTCGTAAGTGTGAAAAATGGTTGTAAGTCACTTTTTTCAGTGCCATTTGAACGGTCAATAAATGATCGTTCAACAGTACTTTGAACGGTCAATAAATGAACTGTTGTAAGTCAAGGACTACCTGTACCTGAAGGGGAAAATTACTTTATATAAAATATATTTTACTATTATAATCTATATTAATCTGTGCAATATAATTTTCAATGAAATTATATAGAAAAAAGAAAAAGTGATTTTTTTCCTTTCTATTAAATGACACTCAGCTCTTTGATAAAGTGATTGGTGGGACTTATGACCTAAATGATTAGGCATACCAATGATTTCCTAGTATAAGCAGACACTAATTAATATGGGAAGAAATAAGCATGAAGGATACTAAAGAGAATTTAAAACTGAAACTACTGTATGCTGCTAAAAGTGAGATATGCTTCTGCTACAGGAGATACTGCTTGTTTTATTTTTGTGTTTTATTAAGTATCATTAAGGTGAACATTATTTGTATGAAATAGATAGTTATGGCTTAATGCAACCTTAGGATATTTATGGTTAGCTTCTAATGAAGATGAATAGAGAGCTGGGCAAAGGTAAAAACTGTTACAATTTAAGAAGTCCTTAAAATGATTATGTCTTATCACTTATTAAATGCATGGTTGAGAAACAGAGTTAAAGCATGGGTTACCAGATTTATTGGTTACAATTATATCATAATGGGTAAACATGTCATCATACTTTTGTTTAATAATTTAATTATTTCATGTCATTACTGAAGTCAACTTATAATGCTATTATATGCTTAATGATGAGAATGATTAATAATAGTCCTGTTTTTTTCTCATTATATGAAAAATATCCAATGATTAAAAGAGGGTGCATATATTTAGAATGGCTTTCTTTTACAACTTGAGTAATTAATCTGCAATCTAAGACATTTGGGCAAAGGTACAAAAACTGATGAGCCAGAGGAACTACCAGCCTAACATCTCAGATGCTATTTTCAGAGACCTAAAAAAAAAAGTCTGATCAAAATATAATTTTAACATAACACAAATGAAGACATTAAAAATGACATGAATGATCATGTAATTACAAAATTAATTCAAATATAAATGAAACAAAATCAAATTTAGCTTTTGTATTGGCCACTCCTACCACAAATGTTGTATGCGGTCCTCAGCCAAGTAAAATCGCACTCCTTGTTAAAGGATAGATAAGCCTCCAGATTATATACAGTAGGCATGTCAAACTGCCGGCCCACGGGCCAGATGCCTCATGCCGAAACCGCACCTACCCCATTGCCGACAATGGGGGAAAAGTCGCGATATGTCACGAGTTTGGCATGCCTGATATACATGTAGAACAAAACAAAATTAAGCACTATATTTAGCTTGATGACATAAATTAAGCCATCACGTGATTAAAATAAGAGAATTGGTTTTGATTATTTTAGAAAGAATCTTAGAAAGCTAAATATAGAATTTTACTTCAAAATAGAACAAAATTTTAACACACTGAGAAACTAGAAAATTTGGGCATGAACCATTATCAGCCATATATTTTACACACACACACACACACACACAAACCATAGGTCAGAAGGAGGACTGGGAAATAACTACAGATCCTTCATATCCTGGACATACACTGTATCAACTCCTTCTTCGGGACACCGCTGTAGGGCATTGCATGCCAAAACAACTAGACACAGGAACATTTTCCCCTCATTTCCACTGAATTTCAGCTATATGATTTCAAGAGGGCCACAATCCGATAATTTTTTGATTTTTATCTAAGCATGTTCAAATTCCTTCAAAATAAATGTTTCATGAATATATCTATAATGATGTACAACTCTTTCTAATGTCTAAATAAGAATTTATTTATAAGAGAAAAGATGGCTGAAAGTCATGCTCTCTCACTCAATTGTGAGGATGAATTAAGCCACTCAACTTTAATACATATGTTTTACTAAATTGATCAACACTAAATTTGCTTATATCATCATTGTAAGCCTTTGTCTTTGTGGGGTCATTGATCTGTATTAAACTAAAGAGTTTTGTTTAAACTTGTCCCAAATGTGTTTAAGAATCACATATTTTTTTCTTTTTAGGTAGGATAAAGCTGACTATAATACCTGCAAATGACATAAATTGTTAGTATACAGAATGATGCAGCTGTCTGTTAGTGGCAACACTAGCTTATAAAATAAATACAATTGTTTTGGAAAAATAACCCATCTTTTATTCATTTTCTGTGGGAGGAGATGGAAACTATTTTTCTGGGAACCTGTTATCTTTATTACATAAACTCATTAAAGAATAAGACAGCATTAATTTAATAAAAGTGTAAACCAGATCTTTTCAAGGGAATAAAAAAGGAATCTCTACAGATGTTAACAGTTGTTTTCAATAACAAAGACTTGAATTTAAATGAATTTATAAAGTATTTTCACATGTGTAAGCAAATCTCTTGTGGATCTTTAATTGTGCAAATTCCTGAAATTCTGCTGTTTGTTAAATACTCACTGTCATCGTAATCTCTCTCTCTCTCTCTCTCTCTCTCTCTCTCTCTCTCTCTCAAAATGCTAAGGAATGTATTGGGCTACAAGACTGAACAGTTGTATTTAACACTGGTGAAATCAGATAATCAATCGATCAATATCATGGTTTGTATCTTTGAATACAGAATGTTTCTGACACAGTTGTATCTCAACTAATCTCTGAAGCACAATTATCATTTTGAGTAACATAGTGTAACAGAAAGTAGAAATAATGTTATGTGCTCATTACAAAGAACTGGAAGGTCTTTTTTATTGCAGAATAGAAGAACAGAGACTATTCTGGTAAATTTAAGATCTCTCTCTTCTGGCTATTCATCTGCACATTTGATCTATTACTGTATGCTTTATTCTCTAATCCAGTGGTTCTCAACCTTTTTAATGCCGCGCCCCCCAACCGGTCGTAAGTCGAGGACTAAATCAGTCATAAGTCGAGGACTAAACCGGTTGTAAGTCGAGGACTAAACCGGTCGTAAGTTGAGGACTACCCAACCGGTCGTAAGTCGAGGACTTTCCCTGCCCGGGAGCGCCGCACATGCGTGGTTCCGCCTCCTGCGCCGGCCGAGGCGTAGCTGGCAAGTGGCAGAGATGGAGCAGGCCGACCACCAGCTGGCACAGCTCAAGGGAGGTAAGGCACCCGCCGGAAAAGGGGAAAAAATGGCAGACAGCCTTGCTTGGCGACCCCCATGAAATGGTCGATCGACCCCAAATGGGTCGCGACCCATAGGTTGAGAACCGCTGTTCTAATCCATAGGAATGTAATATCTTCAAATATTGATAGAGGAGAATATTTGTAGCTCAGGGTTGCCCTGTGGAATTGTTGCTGCTCTCTGAGCTTGGTTCTTTTCTTTCAGACATCTCATTATCCAACTAGGTAACTTCATCATTGCTAAAAGGGAATGGGGTTTGACAGTGCAAATGCCACTCCCTTCTAGCACTGATCATGTAACCTAGTTGGGTAATGAAACATATGCAAGAAAACAACCAAGCTCAGAGAGCCCTAAAGACTCTACCTTCAAATATCAGCTATAATATTAGTTTGCCCAACCCTTCCCTCATGGTATTTTTTTTTTTAAATATAGCATTTGGACACAGGGGAGTAATGTTTAAAAAATAGGACACCTGATGAATTGCAAGTTTAAAATATTATGATTTACTATAATTTAAATGAATGCAAAATATTTACAGGGATGTTAATCATTTAAAAGGAAAAAATACAATCAAATAAATCATAAATGTACAATAAACTTACCTTGAGTAGCAATATAGTGATTTGGTCGATGATAGCCCTGAAATATTTTAAATATTTTGTGACTTGCTTTATCACATGTACAAGATGAAAAATGTAAACATTATCATATAGATTTTATTTTACTATAAATCTCTAGAGATCTTAGTAGCAAGAACTATTTTAAATAGTAAATAAATAACTGAAATAGTAAATAAGTGAAACATGACCTCAGTGTGAGAAATAATGTTGAAATTAATAGTTGTCAATGGAACTGTGCAAAGTAATATTTTAGTAGCTACGATTGCAGTTTAGAAACATGTAAATGATATCTGACCTACCATATTGACAATCTTCACAATCACAATAATAAAGTGTCTGTATACACTGTATTAACAGGAAGATTAATTGTTGCATCACTAAACATAAACTCCCTTTTGCATCCCACTTTTTGAATATATTCAATGTTTCTGAAGCAGAAAAGGTATGCTTCAGACTGTATATCTACATATAGTTTTATAATTTATGTATTTGCATAATTACAAATTCATATATAATTGCAAATGAATATATAACTAAAAATCTGGTCTACCTAAAGGTCATTTTAATTGACTTGCGCACAATGAATCTGTAAATTAGAATTAGAGACTGAAATTTCAGTTATTCACAGCAGTATCCAATTAGTTATATGACTAAAGTTAATACTAGATGGTCACAATCTTTTGCAATTCAATCCTTATGAAATATTTTCAAATTGTCATGGTTCACAAGTGGAAAAAACAACAGTATAAACAACAATATTCAGAAATATACAGGCCCAAAATCAAGCCCAATAGGACATTCACAATGTTTTATTATTATTTTTTCAGATAAAATCTTACTGTACTTAATGCTTAAAAGTCATGGGTCTTTGTGGTGTGATTGTTGTACACCCTGTATATATTATACTCGTGTATATATTAAGAAAATGTCAATTTTAGAAAATGATAACAAGGAGTCTCTAAGGGAAAGGTGTCAAATTCGCCGCGTCACATGATGTGTCGCAACATATCACAACTTTTTTTTGCATTGCCGGAGCTGGGTTGGATGTGGCCTCCTATGATGCAACCGGCCCATGGGCCGGCAGTTTGAAACCCCTGCTCTAAGGTATAAAAAGTTAAGGTAAAATATAAAATATAAAGTCAAGGTAAAATATAAATTCAGATTATTACATTTTGGAACAATACATTATATGCAAAAATATTTGAAACACTTTGTAGGCTGGGACTGAAAATGGCATTGTTTTTTAATATTCCCTCTTACTTTTGATTCTTTCAGTCCCACTACTGTCTCTTACAGAATTTATACTAATGTAAAACATTAAGCTAACTTAATGCAGGATGAACAAAGAAGCAATCTTCAATAATTAATCAATATACATATTTAATGAAATGTCTTGCTTGCATCAGAAGTTCTAGTTAACAGATGCAGATCCCATTCTGAAGGTTGCTTAAAATAAGATGGATGAAGAAACATTGCAAGCCACTGCATTAAAAATTATGAAGTTTGATCACGTTAATCTTGCAAACAGCTTCTTTTTAAAAAGGGAATTACTATATTCCAAGCTTTGACAAAAAAATTAAAATTAATGTTTCGAATGAGGGCAGGGACACATAAAACGTATGAGGAAAAGTAGCCCGATAAAATTATTGCGAAGTTTTTATTCCATAATGCAACAATTTTAGGAAATGAGCTATTTAATTTTTATATGAACAAATCTTTGGTAGATTTAATGTCAAACACAACAATAGAAAACTATGAGTTCTCATAGTATTTAACAACTGGCAGCAGCTCTATATGTATTATCTATTTTTAAAAAGGCATTAAATATTAGAACAAATTGTTATGTTTGTTATAATAGTATACTTACATCAATATAATTTCCATTGATGTAGTCTGAGTTTAAGTCCCCTTCAATAAGCTGCAGTCTCACTCGAGAATGATCATCTAAAAATCCCCACAAAAATAAATTAAATAATTTGTATTTTTCTCAGTAGGCATAAAATAACATTGATTAGTTATATTTGTATTGGAAGGAATACCAATTTACATGTAAAGATATATTTTGATCCCTAATACTATCATTAGTTTCAAAAGGCTGGTTTTGCTTTTGTATGAACACAAATTAAACTACATTTCCCTTTTTTTTTAGTTGATATTTCCCTCAAGTGCAGAATACTTTATGCAAGGAAAAAACAAAGAACTATCCAACCTTATGTACGCATATACTAAAAGATTACTTTATAACAGATCTTAGATTGAATTGCTAAGTTAATTGTAATTTTAGGTTGACCTGTCCTTTAAATAATGTTAAAATCCCATCATTTCCTAATTCTTACAATTTTTTTATTTGCTGGCCTTTGTGGACCACAGCATTTCTTCCACTGCAATATCTCAAGAAGATGTTTTGAGACTTTCTTGAATTAGTACTCTACTCGTACATACCACACAAAGATTGTTCTGTTAGAAAAAAATATGGGCTATAGGAAGCAGAGAATAATAAATGATATTGCTAGGGACATGGCTGTTCTGGTCCTGAAATGATGTGTTAGTCAAGCTCTTCATGTAAAGTATAAAAGACACAGACAGATAAATCCTATTTTTTCATTGTTTAAATCTTCTTTTCTTCAGGAAATTTGAAAAGGAAAATGGTATTGAAAAAGATGGACTTAAATTGAAATGTATGTAGAAATAAATGACAAACAAATACAGACAAAAATTCAGGCAGTTGCCAGTTGTTCTATCTTTCAAACTATGCTTCCCAATTTCTGTTGTGTCACACTTGTGTGTTGATAGATAGATAGATAGATAGATAGATAGATAGATAGATAGATAGATAGATAGATAGATAGATAGATAGATAGATAGATAGATAGATAGATAGATAGATAGATCCACATTCCAAAAAGGCAAGCCCAGGAATTAATAACACCTAATTAAATGTATTTACTATCTCATATTGTGTTTGTGTATATATGTATATACAATGTACATACTAGTTCCCTCACATACAGAAATATATATATATATGTATATACACACATACACACAGAGGCTAGTGATGAGATGGGGGGAAGTGATTACTTAACATGGAAAGAAAGTCCTGTTACAAAAGGTGTTAAAATTTATCAAGTACCCCTTTCCTATGAATAGCTTATTTGATATTAATTATTTGATAATTAATTATCAAAGGCCTGATAACTATACTCCTTTGTATCTTCAAACTTCATTTTTAAACGTTTTTGTCTTTATCAGTTGAGTCTGAATATACTTCAGATCAATTAATATGGTTATATGAATTTTAAATATTTGAGAAGTTGCATGGCAACTGAGATTTCCCAACAAGTGCTAAGTGACAAGGTATTCATTTCAACTACCTTTTAATATTTAGATAGGGTTGGAATTTCTAAGTGATCTTAAGAAATCTTTCTAACACTAGACAACATTATTTGATTGTTTCATTTGATTTATATCCTACCTTTCTAAGCAAGCGTGTAGTCAAGATGACCCCAAAATAAGAATAAAAAAATCCAATGTAATTGTAATATTAAAATTGATATAACCATTTCTTTACTAAATAGTCACCCTACTGGTTTCTATTTACAAACAGTTACTAAATCACACGAAAATAGATTAACTATTTAAATTAATCTGGTAGCCAGATCAATAGACCTTATAAGCAACCAGATAGAATTTTGTAATTTGCATGTAATTATAGAATATTGGTGTGCAAGTAAATAACTAACACAAACCATTCTCTAAACCAGCTGGGTAATCACTTTCAGGTATTGTTTTTTAAAAATAATAATAATACACTCTACATTGGAATTTGGAGAAATAGTCCATAAATTTGATAGAGATATCATTTGTTATTTGACCTTAACATAAACCTGTTTCTTCGCTTGATATTAAGTTTTTAAGGCCATATAAATTAAGGCCCTGTAACAAATCCTCATAACAATGTTTCCACGTTTCCTAACAGGCAGATAAAACTTTTAAAGGATTCTTTCTGGCAACCAAGACCATAAGAACATAAACTCCACTTTTGTAATGATCCTTAGACTGTTTGATTTATAGATTCAATATTCATGATTTAAGGTTACTTAATTATCCCTTATTAATTAAAACTCTGATTTAATTACAATCTTATCTTCAGTTATATACATAGGTCTTATTATTATGCAGAACTGTTCTTCAATTTTCAATATGTTTCATTTTAAGTGTGGGATATAATTCATATATTTCTTCAATTTATAAGGAATAAAAAAGCTCATGATTTATATATTTATAATATATATTAATATACTTTATTTTATTTTATTTTTATTTGATTAAACAATCTTACAATCCTGCAGCAATTAAATGCGTAATTAATGACATATTGCCAAAGAAAAACATGCTTATTTTCCTGTTAGTCCATTGATTTAGTATTGTGGCTTTCATTTTTGTTTACTAAACCCGTACACATAATTCATAATTCTATCAACTCATATAAAATTCTCTTTCAGTTCTATTTTACACACGATATGGGAGTAAACATAAATCTAAAAGCAGTTTTTGATTGTTTAGATGAAAATGTGTTGGTGAGTTAGTGAAGGATATAAAAGTGATGACAGGTTCTGAATGTTGGAGAAACCATTTTTGGTATTACCAAAGACCTTGGGGAAAAAGAAAAAAAAGTGCAACCCCCCCAAACAAACAAGTAGTGAAAGCGGAATGACTGCAAGAAGAGAAAGCATGAATCTAATTTAAAAAAGAATTAGAAGAGAGATTAGCTTCCCAACAGAGTGAACAGAGAGTATATATAAGGAAATATAGAAGCAGCTTGAAATACAGTGAAAAGTTATATTATAAACTCACAGAAGTCAGTTACATTAATGGGAAATAAGATATAGTTTGTTTTGTGGACAAACTGAAAGAGACTGTGGATGCCTATTGTGTAAGAGAATGGCTATTGCAAGACATGAAGAGAGAAATATATTGTACAATGTGTATAGAGAAAACAAATACTGTAGTTCTATAAGAGGAGTCCAAGCAATGTTGATGGAGGCTCCAGCATAGTGAATGGAAATAAAAATAATGAAAAATAATGAAATCTGAGATGAAACTGAAGTGAAAGAGTGTTGGAGAAAGTATTTACAGGACTGGATTATTGGAAAAATAAAAAGAGTGAATGAAAAAACTACTGGGGAATTTGTCAAATATGCTTGGGAATGTATTGGCAGATATAAGTTTAAGAGAATACAGCAGGGATCTCCAACTCCTGGCTGCAGCCCACTACCAGGCCGCAGGAGATGGGCAAGTGTGTGTGTGTGAAGCTCCACTTGCATGAGCGGAGGGCGTTTGTGCTTGCAAGCAAAGTGTCATTCGCTCTCCATCAAGTGCCCTCTGCTCGCACGAGTGAAGCTTTGTACATGAGCACAAGTGCCTGCTGCTCATGTGAGTGGAGCTTTGTGTATGAGTGCAAGCACCCTCCACTCACGCTCCAAATGGAGCTATGTGTGTGCACGCATGCCTGCCACTCACATGCCCCCCACTGGGCTGCCAAGCTGGACAGGTTGGGGATCGCTGGAGCAGAGGCTATGACAATGAGCAAAATTTAGGAATTGCAGTTCAACTGGAAGGTGTGCAGACCAATTTTATTTCCTCACTAGGGTAATTAAGAAATTGTTGAATGAAAGACCCATACCCATTATTGTGTTGATTTAGAAAATGTGTATGAGAAAAAATTCAACACTGTTCAGGGACTTAGACAAGAAGTTCCTTTAGTTGTTTAGTGTATTTAGTGTATGGAAAAAGGGATGTCTACAATAACATTAGAGTATATTGGTGAGGAGCACATTTGTATGTGTACCATGATAAGAAAATGATTTCCATGTTATTGGCAGGTAACCCAAAATATCTGAACAAATGTAAAGATAATTATATGATGCAACAGAAGTAGCCATTATATATTTCATATAGTAAAAGTTGTTTTATCTTCCTATTTTATCCACACATCCTTTCAGAGCTAGGATAGAGACACAATGCTACTCACTGAGTGCCATAGTTGACATCGGGAATTCTAGTCACAAACGCGCGTTACTTCCTTTATTTTTCTGTCTTTGGAATTCTTAAATATTCATTCATTCATTATAATAAGTAGAGCTCCATTTTTACTCCAGATACATAGTGCTACATATCAGTGGGCAGTGTTGTCAGTAACTAAAAGGAGTTTGCACAGTAGTACAATTATACTGTCAACACTTACATGCAATGATATTCCCATATCTATTCTTCATGCGGTTCTCATCTTTTTTAGCTGAGTCCCATGGTGCAGACTGTCCTTCAAAGAAACTCTGTTAAAAAAAAGGGAGGGGAAGGAATGACATGTTAAGGGAAAAAATATGTAGCAACAGAAATACTAGAGGGAAACTCACAAAAAAACTTTAAATTTTTAGGTGATAGACTGTTAGAATTTAGAAACTATCATAACACAAAATATTAATTAGAGATGTGATCCTACAAAAATGATTTGGAAGAAGTGCTCCTGATCATCCAAAAGACACCAACTCTCTCCACTTCATTAAAACAGTCCTTTTCTTTTCATTTTTCTGTATGAGCCTGAAAAAAGCAGTCAGTTTTTTCAAGTTAACAGGGATCTTAAGAGAGCTGACACAGAAACTTAAGACAAAAGCAGCTATTTGAGAGGTGCTCTGTTTGCAGAGTTACAAAAATACTTGAATGACTTTTTGGGTGTGCACAGCCCCCTAATACAGCAGTTCCCAACCTTTTCTATACCCCGCACCCCTAGAACGCTTCTGATACGTTCTCACACCCCTTTCAAAAGTTCAAAACAATGGCAACAAATTATGCATATACACTATAATTTTGAAACTTCTAAACCCAAGTTTTCGCACCCTCTGGAATATCACCTTACACCCCCAATTAGGAACCCCTGCCCTAATATGTTAAATCTCTCTCCTTTACAAATACAATCTTCATAAACTTTCAAAAGAGACAGAAGCAAAGGCAGATAGATGGTTTAGGAATATTAAATATTTACATGATCGTCATGAACAAAAGAGATGGAGTGAGTAAGGTGAGAGCAATTATATTACAGCTTGTAAAATAAACATCCTCAATCTGGTGCCTTTGAGATAAACTGAATTATAAAAGCTAAGCCTACTGTTATTGTTTAATATCGTTTTTGTATGTGATTTAATTGTATGTTCTAAGCTACCCACAGCCAATATGGGAATGGATACTCTCTGTGTGTGAGACAGAATGCATTTATTCTTCATGGTATAATTTTCATCTCCCCCACCCCCCAGGCCCTGGAGATCTTTAATTTTGCAGAATTCTGGGGCTTGGATGCAATATTTCTACTCCTGCTCTTAAGGATGACTTCCTTTCAGGCACTTTGGTCATCAATCATAGGCCTCCTTTGGGTGGTTCTGCCAAATGAAGTTAGGCAGAAGTATATCAGAGAGAAAGATTTTTCTAGGACTTCTGATCAAACTCAAAGAATAATCTTTCTAAGTTGGCTTCTCAGCCGCCTGTATATTTTTCAGAATTCTAATATATTTATTTTCTTCCAGGTTTTTTTAGGTTTGTATTATCTTGCAATTATGACTCTGGAGATCTGTATTTCATTTGCCATTTTATTATACATTTATTAGTTTTAGATTAAATGGTTAGTTTTAATCTTCTAATAAGTTTATAATTTACCCCAGGAGCTCTTATGATTGGGCAGATTTTCAATACACAATAATACAAATATAACCATATGTCCCGAAGAGCTGCTTAAAATTGTCTCCATGCACAAATGAGGCAGGCCTGTTATGTGTAACTCCTAATACATTTTAAGATTATCTGGAGCTCACAGAAAACATTGCTTAAAGTAAAAAAAAAAAGCCTTTATTTTAAAAGAGTTAAATTTAACTGAGTTTCAAGCTTAGACTATTCCTTCCATTATCAGCAAGACTTTTGAGGCTGAGAAATTGATATATAAAAATATAAGATATGCCAAATGAAAAACCTTTCTTCAGTCTAACCAATGATCTAGCAGTTCCACTGTTAAATAGCCTTCACAAAGTGAACAGTAGCAAATAAATAAATACATTTTTAATAATTTGTAAAGGTTGGAACGTATTAATCAGAAGTCCTTGATGTACTATGCACTTACCAATTTCTAGGCATCATCTCACAATAACTAAATATAAATAGTATGGTATGCAAAACAAACCATTTTGAATTTGAAATAATCTGATTCAAGTTTGAAACAATTGCTTTAGACTTAAAACTAACTTTTTCTATCATTTTTCTATCATTTTTCTTGCATTCCAAATAACTGTTCTAGGTTTAAAACATTTTAAATTCAACATCTCTTATAAATGCTTAAAGGTATAAATCCTTTTCAATATTCCAGAAATGGAGAAAAAAAACACCTGCAAAATCTACTTGACCCTGAAAGTCTTCACACCAATTCAGAGTTCATTAGTGATTTGGCACAGCCTTCATATGAAAGACCAATTGTTGTCTTTTTTGTTCATATCACATTTTTAATTGGATGAACATTTTGATCTGAAGATGGAGATGCTTTCAAATAAAAAAATGCCCCCTTCTTACCAATATCATGAAATCGAATGTGCTGGCCTTTTTTAAACAGCACTAGGATGCATAAAAATATTGAATGTCAAGCGAAAGACAGATGAAATCAAGTTCTAATTTTGACCAACGTATAAGCAAAGTTGCTCTCTGATGGCAGTGGAAGCACTTTGCTTCTTTATTAAGCAAACAACTTATTAACAACAATTAATAGTGAAATTTGTTTTAAAGGAAAAAATAATAATAGGGAGATATCAGGTGGTTTTTCCCATTACTGGGGTAGAAGTAGTAAACTGCTTTAAAATTTATTTATCACAGCATTAGGTATATTTCAGGCTTTGATATGCCTAAAATTGCTGCCTGCATGTCATTCCATATAAAAGAAACAAAATGCACACAGTAGCGGCTACTGTTCAGATAGATTATGAATGCCCTGTGCTAAAAACTATCTGATATGCTATAAATGTATATCTTCTCTTTCAAGAAAATAATTATGATTGAATCCTACAGGAGAGCTATTCATTTAAAAATACTTTTAAAGACTCTAAGCCATAGTACAAAGTATAGTTTAAATGTAAATCTCTTGTTACTTAGAGTGAGAACAAGCCCTGTTTATTTGCTCTTTTGAATGTCTATTGCCATAGTTCCATCCATCTAACCATACAAACATATACATATGTGCTTTCAAATCAGTCTTGGATCTTGGTGACTTCATCAATAGGTCCATGCAGTTCTTTTGGCAGCTTGCCTTCTTCAGATATATTTTTCAACTTCCCAGAGCACAGTTGAGAGAGAGAGTGACAAGCTCAGTTACCTATGTCACCTTTGTGTACAAGAGAGGATTCCACCCTTAGGTATCTCCACTCCTAATCCAACATATTAACCATACTGGGTCTCCCAATCAATAACACACAATAATATATGAAATCAGCTCGTTGTCACCTAAATAATATAAATAAATAAAATGACTGGACAGGCTCAGCAAAACCTATCTTTTACTCACAATTGCTGAATAAATCACAGCAAGGCTGGCACTAAAGGATATTATTTACAAACTACTCTATGCGGCTTTCATTTTATTCAAGGTTATTAACCACTGAATCATACCTTTATGAGGAAAAAATGCAGCTTGCTCTAACAATCAGCATAAGTGAGGGGGAGTGCTGACTACCTTTTTTGATGAAAGGAGAGGCTGAATTTACACAGCATGCTCAACTGAGCTAAAATTGGGGTTGTGGAAATCCAGCCATTTTTACTCTGGTTGCATGTTGGGTATGAGCCAGATAGCTGCATTAAGACATATTATGGTTTGTTTATTTGGGTGTAGTGAATGAATACAACAATTGTGATTTGTTAAATCGAGGTTAACGTTTAGTGCGTGCTTTGAACTCAATCACAGTGTCTTTTCCCTTCTCTCAAAAGAGCATTCTCTAGGATCTGTCTAGAGCTTTCTAGAATATCTTGTCCCAATGTAATTCATCTCCCTACCAATCCTTTATGTGTCCAAACACCATAATGTCAATGTTTAGATGCTGACTCATTAGCAAGATTGCTACTATTCTAGTTTCATGTATGCAACCATACAGGTCCAGTCAGATATTTACTGCATAATAAAAAATCAGTCTTGTTTCCAAGAAATACTATCCATTATTGTATCACTGCAGCTTGTTTATTATTTATAAAATAGAGTTCATAAAGTTTAAAATAAAGAAAGAAGGAAAATCTCACTGATGCACAGAATTTCAAACTTTTCTTACTTTTCCTTTACTTCTAATCTTAATTCCACCTTCCAACACTCCTCTCCAGGAGCAAAATGCAAGTTTCTATTCTAAACTAAGCATGGGAGCATGAAATATGGGAGGAGGTAATGTACTGTCATATTCACAATACACTTAAAAACTGTTTTAAAAATTGTCTTATCTGTTGTTTTAAAATGGTATAAAGAGTAGCAATTCTGCAGATACATTTAGTGGAGAAAACATCAGTTCAAGAGGAACACAAGAGAGAGATGAAATATATGATTCCTCAACTGCTATTAAAGAAAACAAAAGAGGCATGCACTAAATAAAAAACATGTTTTGCTTCATGTATAGATGTAATGCATTGTAGTTTAAATTTTGAGAGGTCATAATTTCTCCAAAGTACCTGAAAGCAGGATAAGATGTAATGGATGGAAAGAGAAGCAACCTAGAACTAAGGAGAAATTTCCTGACAGTGAGAACAATTTATCAGTAGAACAGCTTGCCTTCAGAAGTTGTGGGTGCTCCATCATTAGAAGTTTTGAAAAAGCCATTTGTCCAGAATGGTATAGGGCCGTGGTGGCAAACCTATGGCATGCGTGCCACAGGCGGCACACGGAGCCGTCTCTGGTGGCACGCGAGCCATTGCTGGGCCGAGCTGTTCCCTCTTCCTCTCTGCGCATGCACAGCTCTCCGCGCATGCGCAGTCTGGGAATAGGCGAGAGGCTATAAAAGGAGCAACTTTCGGCGGAAGCAGCATTTGCTGCAGAAGCGAGAGAGCAAGCACAAGTCGGAGTGGACAATGAGCGAGCGAGCACAAGCCGACAGCTCGGTGGCCACGCCCATTCAGTAGCCACGCCCACCCGGCACCCAGCAATGCATAAGTGGGTTTTGGGTTGCAGTTTGGGCACTCGGTCTCTAGAAGGTTTGCCACCACTGGTATAGGGTTTCCTGCTTGAATAGGGGGTTGACTAGAAGACCTGCAAGGTCGCTTCCAATTCTGTTATTCT